AATTTAATCTGTGGCTCCCCTGAGGTAAATGTAGTTCACAGTCCTGCCCCCACCCCAACCTCAGCCATAATCCTTGCTTCCTGGAGGTAAGAAAGCACTGGAGTGAGGAAAATTCTGCAGCAGGATATAATGATCCAAAATGACAGGGACAATAATGACAATGAATTTCATGTCTCCCAGTCATGAGCAGGGGATGCTTGACTGGGCTGACTCACACGATTAAATTGTTACAGGTACAGCAGGAGATGCAGTTATCATCCGGTGCTTTTGGGAAGGCGCCCGGGGCAGCGGGCAGGCAGCGCGGATGGATGCACGGCCCTTCTGTGGGGAGCAAAGGGCTCCTCCTGCAGCCACGCGGCTGCGCCCGCACCTCCGACAGAGGCAAATCTGGGTTAAACACGCAGCTGGTGCAGGCCACTGATTTTATCCCTTCTGAAAATGATAAAAGCGCCCTGGCGGGGAAAGCGCGGCGGCACCGGAGCGGCGAGGCACGGCGTGTGCCCCAGGGAGCTGGGCAGCCCTGGGAGCTGGGCCTGCCTGCCCGTGCCAGCCCCAGCACCAGAGTGCTCCAGAGCTCTGTGCTGGGCAGCCCTGGGAGTTGGGCCTGCCTGCCCGTGCCAGCCCCAGCACCAGAGTGCTCCAGAGCTCTGTGCTGGGCACCCCAGGGAGCTGGACAGCCTGCCTATGCCAGCACCAGCTCCAGAAAGGTCCAGAGCTCTGTGCTGGGCAGCCCTGGGAGTTGGGCCTGCCTGTCTGTGCCAGCCCCAGCACCAGAGTGCTCCAGAGCTCTGTGCTGGGCTCTCTGCCCCTGCATCCCCAGGAGCTGGTCCTGCCTGTCCGTGCCAGCCCCAGCTCCAGAACGGTCCAGAGCTCTGTGCTGGGCTCTCTGCCCCCTCCAGCCCCACAGCCTGCAGGATTTCACAGGCAGCTCTGAGATGCAGAACGCCCTGACACACGACAGGACACGGACACACCCCGAGTGTTCCCCAGCTACACCATGGTCAGTGTGCCTGCAAGGCTTCCCTCACCCAGCCAGCCTCAGGCTGGAAACACCAGGACACACGAGCAGCTGCGTGTTAAAATTCACCTATGGAAAGTCTGTTCACTGACAAACTGTCAGAGTTTTTATATCCAGGGAAGGAAAACAGCCACAGAGTTGTCTGTAATACCCCTATTACAGCTCAACATCTCCAAATATCCATTTGTCAAACATGAATTATAAAGCTATAACATTTCATAATTCAGGACACACTCAAATCCTAGGAAAAATAGCTACAAGAGCACAAATAAAAAAAAGCATTTATTCCATTTTTGACAGCTTAATGAATGCCCTACTCTTTTGCATTGATTTTTGTGTGTGTGTCTGTGTGTGCACGTGTGCCTGGGAAGGATTTCTCAGGGGGTTTGCTGTAAACAGGGAAAGCGAAATCCTCTGCCAAGGCTTTTTCTACTTTTAAATAACCTCCATATTAAAATATTTCAGCAGAGAATGTATGCAAAACTACTGAGAATACAAAAAAAAAAAACCACCCAAAAAAACCAACTACTTACATCCCAGTAAACATACTGGAGATTTGTAGAACAAGACATTAAACAATCCAATACCTCGATGTGGCATGAGAGTCCCCGACACAGCATATGTTAATTTCTTCTTTCAGGAAATAATAGCAAATTCAGAAAGCACGGTCAGCAGAGCCCTAGAATCTTAAATTCAGGATTGATTCCAGAACACAGATTTTCCTTACACACCTAAGGGCTCATCTTGCAAGGCAAAATATGTTAAAGAAGCCTGCAAGCACCTAGAGACAGAAAAATAATGTATCATGAAGAGAACCGTGCCACTTGGAATTGCTAAACACTTTACATTGACACACTCTGGCCAGCTGGATCCCTGCTTTAATGGTTTTCCTAGTTCTTATCATAATGAACTCTATATAATTTAAATGGAGATTAATTCTTCCATTTAAAGTGCTTTGGAACAATCCTGCCCGAGATGCTGAGCTCAGCCCAGCCTCTCCCTGTGCCTCCTCTGCAGTTCTCCCTCAGCCCCTAAGTGGATCTGACAGATCCCTGCTCAGATAGCAGCCGCCTTCTCCCCCCAAAATGTTGCCTTTTTGCTATTCAGGAGTATCCTAATACCAACAAATGCTAAATGCAGTCTGACATGTCCCCCTAAGAAACAAACTTGTAAGTTGTGGCTTCAAAGCAAACCTTGAATAAATAGGACACGTTGTGTACACCCCGGCTAACATCCAACATATGCTTTGGCTTCCCGATGCTCAGGCAGAGCAAGAATAGCCTCTGGACAAGGCTGTGATTTGCTCTTGCTGGTACTTGCACCGCCGATGATGTACCATTTCTCTGTGCCTGTATAAACAATTTAAAGGCTGTAATGAAGACGACCCGGCGCGGTGGGGAACGCAGCGTCCCCATGAATTATGGATGGCTGGAGGTGCCAGCAGCCCCACCACGGGCCACACAAACACAGGAACCCCGGGCAGGCTGCAGCACACAAAAACCAGCCTGGGCACGCCGTGCTTGCACCCCTTCCCCTCGCTGTGGGCATCCACAGGTAACAGCTCTGCTTCCAACAGTTACAGGGACAAGGAATAAAGGAAAGTGAGGAAATGGGATCAAACTGCATTTGACTGCACTTACAGTTAAGGCACTCCGTCCTTTACAGGCCAATTTACCGATTCATTCTTTGGGGGAGAGAGAAGGATGGACAGAGAAGAGAAGGCTATCACCTACTTTAAGACTTGTATTTCGTTTTGCTATTATTTAATACTCCATTTTATGACTAATCCTTCCGAAAGGACTAAAACAAGTTTAATTTCATCACCCCCTCCTCTACTTTCAGTTCCATTCCCTCTCCCTTTGTGCTCCATCCCTCTGGATTCAGGGTGTGACAGTACCTCATTAAAATTCAAGTACAATAATTTACAAGACCTAAAGGGAGCTTGCTGAAATGTTGTGACTTAAAGCCCATTTCCCGTGGCCAGAACACAGGTTAATTGATCAGGACAAAGCAGTTCACGTGCCCCAGCCCCACGGGAGCCCAGCAGACACAGCGAGCAGCACTCCGTCCTTAACGGGCCAATTTATCGATTCATCTTTGGGGGAGAGAGAAGGATGGACAGAGAAGAGAAGGCTATCACCTACTTTAAGACTTGTATTTCGTTTTGCTATTATTTAATACTCCATTTTATGACTAATCCTTCCGAAAGGACTAAAACAAGTTTAATTTCATCACCCCCTCCTCTACTTTCAGTTCCATTCCCTCTCCCTTTGTGCTCCATCCCTCTGGATTCAGGGTGTGACAGTACCTCATTAAAATTCAAGTACAATAATTTACAAGACCTAAGGGGAGTTTGCTGAAATGTTGTGACTTAAAGCCCATTTCCCGTGGCCAGAACACAGGTTAATTGATCAGGACAAAGCAGTTCACGTGCCCCAGCCCCACGGGAGCCCAGCTGCCCCACGGGCCAGCCCGCAGCAGAGTGACACAGACACAGCGAGCTGAAACACGGCCTGTTCACAGCGGAATTAACGCTGCAGCTGGGCAGCCCTCACTCTGCACTAGTGCAGCCTCAGAACACTCAGATGTGTATTATCGACTCACAGATTCATCCCTGAGTCCTTCAAACCCATCTTATTCTTCAGGGAAACTGAGGTTTGGTGGAGCTTGGACAGCTTTTGAAATTTCAATTTAAAACAGCATTTCTTTACATTCTGCCTAAAACCGAGGACAACTAAGCTGTATCTTATAGAGAAAGCAAAATAAAGACGGGGTTTTTTTTCCTTTCTTTTTCTATTTTACTCTTCCTTCCCAATACTGAGTGTGGGTTTGTTTCCCTCTGTTGGGATGGCACTAAACCTCCAGAGACATCTCCCAGTCACTCGGAGCCCTGCCCTGCCCATGTTTGCCATCAAAGCCCACCTGGCATCTTGATGCTGAATCTTTAGATTTACAGCACTGTTTAAAACAATTATTCATGGAAGAAACATGAAGATCAATTTAAGGCTACCCTGAAAGGTGTATCTTTGGAATGCTGGAGTAGTAAATAGCCACGATACAGCCAAATTATTTATTTAATCAGAAAAAACTTCACTAGATTATAAATAGATTTCAAGCTATAGTGCTCTTATGAGAAGTGTAATTACAGTTAAGAGAACCACTTCGTTCTTCTGGCAGGCTCCTGGGATCCCTTAAAACAAGCTAGGGACTAGCTCAGGATATGGAAAAAATAAATCTGAATTCCCTCTCTATGTGCTGTGTATGGCAGGTCCTGGGTACAAAAACTGCCACATAATGCCACAACAAATTTTGCTACATTTGCAAATTTTGCTCTCATTTCCTTCAGACCTTAAAAATATAAAAATTACATAATATTTATAATATGTAATATAATATAAAAAAATAAAAGCTTCTATCAGTAGTAAAATCAAGTAAACACTAAATCCATCCTTTAAATCCAACCCTCCTCCCAAACAAGCATCTGCACATACATATTCCCACACATATATATGAATTTTTAATTGGTTTTCCATGCTGTTGGGCTTTGTCTGAGACACCTGCAATTAACAACACAAGCTTTAGCCAGAAGCCTCACAAACCCCACTGGAGTCCAGTGTATCTCCAGAGTTCTTCCCAGTCCAGAACCCCTTTGATGAGCTGATGAATGCAGTTCTACAAAGGGAAAAGAATTCCCTTTATAATCCACCTTGTGTGAAGACCTTTCTGCTGCCAGGTCAGAACCACATCTCCACCAGAGCACTTTCACACTGCTCTACACACACTAGCCAAGAAAAGCCACTGCATTTTCTCCTATATCCAGTGAGTTGCTGTTTGAACATGACTTATCTCCCAAAGGAACAATTAGGAGGCAGCTGAATCCTGCCAGCTGCAGAGAGCCAGGGTGCAATCTCCAGGCTCACAGCTGTGTCTGAAGCCCAGACCCAAAGCCCAGGGGCACCGAGCAGGCAGAGAGGCCACGCACCGTCGTAGTAGACAATGGCTCCCACCAGCTTGTCCCGGCGCAGCATGGGGAACAGCTCCAGGGCCCGGGCCTTGGTCAGGACGTAGCTGCTCTTCAGGCACTGGCTGCCCGCCACCAGGTCGTACAGCTTGATCCCGATCCAGTAGTATGGCAGCTGCCACCACCTGGAGGGAAACAGCACCCAGAAGGGAAAAACACAGATGAAGCTTTCAGAAGTGCATGCACACTGTTATTGCAATACAGGACACGCTGAGCAACACACAATGTTCTTACAGCACTTCCACCTTGCTCAGCATTACAAGCTCGTGGTAACAAGACAATGTAAATACTCCAGACTTAGGTGTTGTTTGCCACTGTTTTCAACTGAGCTCCTCCCTGCAGTGAGGCAAGGATTTATTTGCTCTGAAATCAGGATCTAAACGGGGCTGTTGAGCCTCTGTGAGATACTGGAGCTGTGTGTGCAAGCTGAGAGGATTCCCCCAAGGCAGGGTCTAAGGCCTCCTGCACAAACAGGACCACAATAAATGCAGGCAGCCACTGACTTACACAAGCTCCAGCTCTTACAAGCCCCTCACACTAAGACAGAAATAATAAAAACAGGAATACTCCTAATAAAATTAAGTTCCTTTAGCAAAACCTCCCCACTCTAAGTAGCTTGTTCCAGTGAGTAATTACTCTTACAGACTGAAAACCCAACCCAAAGCACTGAGTGTCTTCCTCAGAGGAGGAGAAATCTGTTCTGTGCATACCCAACTGCCCTGTGCCCACAGGGACTGAGCAGCACCTTGCTGGGAACACTGGGGGGACAAGGGGGCACTGAAAGAATAGCAAATACATGCTGGGAATGAGAGCTCTCTGCAGCTGTCCCTGTTGGGGAGCTGGAAGGGCTGCACCCCAGGATGTGCCCCCCAAAGCAGCGCTTGCTGGCTGGGCACAAGTGAGCTTAGTGCTTCTGCAGCCCAGCAACTTCCCCTGGGACAGCTGTAACAATCCCCTGCCAGGCCAGGGTTTGCTTGTGAAAGCCAAGGTAAAGGAGAGAAGGCAAGCAGAGCTTACTTGTAGATGGGGAGCATGATGGGCAGTGCACCTGAGAGGTGGGGCGCGCTCTGCAGCAGGTGGGCACGCTCCTCCAGGGCCTCCTTCACCATCCTGTACTGCAAAACACCAGCCAGGGTCAGTGACAGAGCACCCACCCTCCTGCAGAGCCCCCTCACCATCCTGTACCCACCCCTGGCACCAGGGCAAACACTCAAAAACAGACTTTATACAAGTATCAACACCTCCCACCACTGTCACTGGGCTTTCTCGCTGTGATCTGCTGAGAAACCCAAGGGTTAAGGAAAAGGATCCCCAATAAAAGGATCCCCAATAAAATAAAAGTTTTGGTAGTTTCATCTTGGTGTCTGGCAGCACAGCTGCATAATTTTTCATTTCAACATAAAGCTCAACAAGCCACATTGCTCTAACAAGGGGAAGGAGGCACTTCAGGAGCTCCATGGCAATTCCCACAGCTCAACCCCATCCCAACTCCAAGCTGCAAATGCAAAAGGGCTCTTCTCCAAACCAATCAATGTCCATCAACATGGTTGTTCTTTGGCAGAACAAGTGGGTTTCTCTATGTGGATAACTGCAGGGTTAGATATTTCCCCCTGAAAAGTCACCATTCCTGCAGCAGCATTTCAACCACTAAGACACACTTTGAGAGGCTCCAATGTTAAGACAATGTGATTCCTCAAAACACGAATATCTGGCTTCCACCCACACAAGAATGCACAAAAACGTTTATAAACTATCACTCATTTACTGTATTTTCTTTCCCCATGCCAAAATAAATCACTCATTTACCACCTTTTTTTCCCTTATTCCAAAATAAGTCGCTCATTCACAATATTTTTCCCCCCATTCCAAATTAAATCACTCATTTACCATTTTTTCTCTCCCCATTCCAGAACAGGTCAGCTCCTCACTCGCCCCAGTTCATGACATTACCTGTCTCTTTTAATTTTATTTTATTTCAAGCTCTTTTTGTTCTGAGATCAGCCCTGTCTCTGCCTGCCTTTCCCAAAGCCCACAGCCTGCAAGGCATGGCAGTGACACTGCCATCAAAGCACTGGAAAGCTCCCCCAGAGAAGTCACTTCCCGTGCACAGTGGCTGTGGAACAGAAAAAAAAGCTCAAAAGGACACTCAGCTCTAACTGGGACAGTGAAGTGTCCACCAGCAATTCTTGCTGAACAACCAGCACAAAAAATTACCTGCTCGAAATCCAGCTTCATGATGGCCTTCTGGAGGTACCTCACCCCACCATGGATCAATTTAGTGCTCCTGCTGCTGGTCCCCGATGAGAAATCATCTCTTTCTAGAAGGGCTGTTTTTAGTCCTGTGTTACCAGAAAACCAAATTAACTTCTTAAATTACACAATTTGTATGTAATTCATTAAAGACACTTCTCTAGGGTAGAGACAATCACAAGAAAAATTACTCTGTACATGGATAAATTTGTATTCAAAGTGTAGTGCACTGTCTATATTGTAATGAAAAATTTTAGCCTTCTTCCTGAGGGAAAAGTCAGAGCAGAACTTAAACAGCAGCACATTAAAAGCTGGGTATTTCACAATGGAAGGGCATTACTGCACATTACGGGGCCACTCCCCTGGGAAATGACAGCTTGGATGCATGGCAGGAACAGAGGGGCTCCATGGACACTTTTAACCCTTTGCAGCAGGGACTCTAAACCTCTTCACCAACCATTTAAGTGGCATTCCAGAGAGGGACACAACTGGCAGCTCTGCTTACTTGGAGTTTGCCTCAGAGGTGCCCAAACCCAGGGGAGAGCCACAGAGCATGGGGCGCACCTGGAATTCTGACACACACACAGGAAACAGCCTGATCAGCCTGAACCACTGAATCCCTGGGGCTGGAAAGACCTCCAGGATCCCTGAGTCCAACCACGCTCCAGCCCCTCAATGTCCTCTTGTCATGAGTGACCCAGAATTGGACACAGCACTTCAGGGGCCTCGGCAGTGCCAACACTGAGATTTTAACATCTACTGGTCTCCCAAAACTTTTATGTCTTTAAAAAAATCTAATTATTACTGGTAACTTGCAAAGATCAGAGCAATTTATTTTTGTCGAATGTGACTGAAGATTAATGGACACAATCAGAAATAATTTGGTGAAGATTTATCAAACACACGAAAAGCAAAATTTGTTGTTAAGCGAAGCAAACACGATAAAAGAGCAAGTTCCATGAATGAACAGCAACGAGACACAACTCATTAACCAAATGCCCGTGAATATTTCACACCTCAGAGACCTACTGATATAACCAGTATACCCAAGAAAAGGATAAACAGAGATTAACTGTAATAATTCCTGTCTGCTTTACAACTGCATTTTCTGCCAAAGCACAGCAGAGGCAGAAGTGAGAAGATCTTTGTCCCGTGTTATTAAATATAACAACCAGGCTGGAATTTGGACTTATCTGCCTGTGGTCAGTCCCTACTGCTTTATCCATTTCATGTAACACCTGCTGGGCAGGTGTTTCCCAGCTCAAAAGGCTCTCCTGGGGTTTTGCCTCTGTTCCTGAGGACATGTCCAGGTTACAGAGCCTGAGAGCTTCAGGGCTCCCTGCTCTGGCCAGTTCCCCAAGGTGGGGCAACAGGAGCACGGATCTGCTGCGTGACCTTCCTCAGGCTCCTCCTGCCTTCCGAGAACAGGTCTCCCAGCCAGGATAACCAGCCCTCTGCCTCTGAGAACTTCAGAAAAGCCCGTCTGAGGAGCTGGCTGTAGGCCAGGCGCCCCAAAGGGAGCCTGCAGGTGAGCCTCACCTCGGGTGGCTGCGTCCAGGGCACAGCCACAGCCCGTGGCTCCCCCGCCGATGACGAGCACATCGAACTCCGCGCCGCTCTGCAGGGCCGCCAGCTGCTGCTCTCTGCTGGGGAGGTGCTCCTTCCTCACTGGAACACCTTCTTCAGCCTGAACCTGCACCAAGGCGCCCTGCAAAGGTGGAGCACAGCCATGAGGCCCTGGCTTTGTTCTGCACACACACATGGGGACAGACCGCCCAAACACAGCCTCTTCTAGAACCACAAAGGTTATTAACCACTTATTCCCAGCCACTTCCCCCACTTTTAACAATCACATCGTGTCAAACACTGAGGAGCAAACAGCACTAAATCCATGAGGTGCTACCACACCTTTCCTTCACCTTGCCCACCTCAATGTAGCACTGCACTCAAGTGTTACCACCTGTATTCATCACTTTAGGAACTCTCCAATGTTACAGGACGCTGTTATTATTTTAATAAACACTACAATTAAGCATTTTAATAAACAGACACAGGGCTGGGCTCTGGACTCTCTACCAAAAAATTCACCACAGCAAAGGACGCAGAGCTGAGTGTACATTTCACATCTCATGCAGTGGCATTAATCCAAGCTCAAGTTTATGAGGTTCAGCAGTGATGTGATTGTCAAACGTAGTGCCCTGAAACACCCAAGAAACTCTGATTTCACCTCTTTTTGAGAGACTTCTAAGCAATGCAGTTTATGTCCTACAGCACGTTAAAATATAACGTTTAAGTGACAAAGCTTAACAATGTGGCAGTTTGCAGACACGTTCCATTTTCCTGGAATGGCCCTGGGGATCTCTTTGGGCTGATATTCCCAGAGCCAATGCTGCTGTCTGTGCAGTGACTGTGGAGAGAAGGGCTGATGCTCAGCCACCTACCAGGGACCATGGCTCAAGCAGGGAGGGTTTGAGCAGTCTCTGAAAGCTCTCTGCTGCTAACGTCAACTTAAACTGAATTCTAAAAATTTCCAGACTTTCTTGGAAATTATAAACACTTTGAACACCAGAAAAACCTGTTTAACCCTAATTTAATACCTAATTTAGGCCAGTCTCCAGGCCAAATGGCAAACTTAACTATGCAGAATAGCTTCTGCCCAGATCTCCCAGACAGGAAAGAGCAGACTAATAAAAATTCAAGTGACAAACCACAGAAACTCCTTTCCAGCCAAGCACAAAAAGCCTCAGTTCAGATTATATGGTGCATGCAGCCTAAATATTTTTGTTCAGAATTATTTGCTCATTCCTCAGCAGTATCATGATTTAAATGCATTAGTTCTGTGTCCCTCTCTCTACTATAGAGCTGAAAATAAAATCGAAAAGCTAGTAGCCATGACTCAAGGAAGTGCATATTCCAAAGATAATGAATGGGCAGGCTGCTCCTGCAATCAGGGGTGATACTGACTATAATGCAAGCAGCTCATGAGAATCCCTTAGGACAGCAGCAGCCACTGTCACTGCTGGTGTGGCACAATGCAACCGTGGGGAAAGTGGGGCTGGAGACAGAGTCCTCCACCTCACACTGAGGATCTAATCCTGGAGCTGCTCCAGGGCTGCAGCCCCTCTGCTCTGGGGCCAGGCTGGGAGAGCTGGGAATGCTCCCCTGGAGAAGGGAAGGCTCCAGGCAGAGCTCAGAGCCCCCGGCAGGGCCTGAAGGGGCTCCAGGAGAGCTGCAGAGGGACTGGGGACGAGAAAGAAAAGAGTTATAAGAAATCCTCCCAAGCGTGGTGATCCTGTGGGATCAGCCCTGTCCCCCAGCCCACAGAGCTGCAGTGCCCAGCTGTGCCCAGCTGTGCCCCAGCTGCAAAGGCAGCAGTCTGTGCTCAGTGCCCGGTGCTCACAGGCACAGCAGCCCTCACACAGAGCCCTCAAACAGCCTCAGCTCCCCAGGCACTCCTGGGGAATCATCAGCACTCATCAGGGTGACTCCTGATGAGCCTGCTGTTGGCACACTAACATGTGCCTGCTGGCACAGATGGGCACTCCTGGGGCTGGGAGCAGACCAGTGACTCCTGATGAGCCTGCTGTTGGCACACTAACATGTGCCTGCTGGCACAGATCACCAGAGCAGGGACGAAGTTTGGGAGCCCCAAGGAAACTCAGCTGCCTCGTTATTCTTCTGGCCATGGAGTTGTGCCCATCCCTATGTGCTCCTGCCTCTTGCCCTGCTCTCTCACTGGCTCTGTCAGCTCCAGCACTGCTATAAAACTTTTATATCCCCAAAGTACAATAAAAACATATATAACAGAATCCCAGGAGGGTTTGGGCTGGAAGGGACCTTAAAGGCCACCCTGCCACTGCCAGACAGCAGTGACAAGCAGTGACTGGGAACACTAAAAACACCCTATCTTGCATGTGTTTGGTTTGGCTGATCAAGCTCAGTGACATGGGATCAACTTCCACCAGCTCTGCAGAAGGAAAATCCCCACCTCCTAATTTAGTTTGCACTACATTTCCTGAGAAATTTCCTAGCATACTACTTAACTCCAGGAAAATAACAGAACACCAGAAAAGACAGGTTTGGAGTTCAAGAAATACTGGCATCAGGTGGGTTTGACTCCATGTCTAGGTTTGCTTTTAAACCCATTATTTACAACAGATGGCTCCTAGCAGAGCCCAGAGCAGAGTCCCCAGGATCCAGCCCCTGGTATAGCCAGAGTGTGCAGATTAGCCCTGGAATATAAGCAGAGTGATTAGTACCAGGAATTGATATAGATATGATGCATCTTGCTGTCAATTAAATGGGGGAGTGAAGAAAAGCTGCACACAGGGATTCCATCTGCAGTAACGTGATTAGTTTGGCAGTGAACAAGTGTGTTTACTGAAATAAGCAATTGCTGTTTATATCTACAATTTCTCAGGCAAGAGTTCCCTGAATGGTTTTGATTACACTCTTAGTGAGAGGAATTTAGTTTGGCAGTTTGAATTTAATCATCAAGTTATAAAGTGATCTAGTAATCCATAATCCAGTGCTCTCGTTAATTTGCTACTGTAAATCTCCAGGTAGGTTTGCAGAGTCAAATTCATCATCCTTATTCATTTAAACAAAAAAAATACAGTAATTAGAACTCCCCAAAGCAGGCCCTGATGCATTATCATGTTATCACACTATTGGATTCACCTTGCTGAGCAATTCCTACTGACCAACAACGCACTCACACACCAGGAAGAGCAGGACTGGGAAAGGACAGCAGAATCCTATAACTCCAAACCAAAGCACTGCCTTTCCCCTTAGTGATCATGAGGGGAGAGGGGAGGGGAAAGCCCCCAGTGGTCTCCAGTTCCAGCTGGCATGTCCAAGAACACCCCATCTCACTCCTGGCACCAGCCTGCTGAGGTGGATTATTATTTATTATTTATTATTTATTATTTATTATTTATTATTTATTATTTATTATTTAATGAGATGCATTAAATAAAGCCCAGAACCAGAATGCACCTATGCAGTCAGGGAGCAGGAGGATCTGGTACTTCCAGCTCTGTGTCCCCATCAGTGCTGGCAGTGCTGGGCCATGCAGGTGTCTGAGTGTTCCAGGCCAAATTACAGAATTCCAGAATGCTTTGGGTGGGAAGGGACCTTAAATCCCACCCAGTGCCACCCCAGCCATGGCAGGGACACCTTCCACTGTCCCAGGCTGCTCCCAGCCCTGTCCAGCCTGGCCTTGGGGACCCAGGGGCAGGGCTGGAATGACATGAGCTTTAAGGCTCCTTCCAGTCCACACTGCTCTGGGATTCAATGACTCAATTCCAGTTGCATAAATGGGACCCAAAATGCCAGCAGATGTGTGTGCACAGAAAAATTAGTTGGGATAAAAGCACAAGTGGTTCTGTAATTTTGACTCCATGATCATGCTCTGTAAAACCCTGGGGATTAATCTGTCTCTGGAAGTTCATAGAGGCCATCCATCCCCAGAAAAGAGGAATTCCCTGAATTCTGGAGTGTTGCAGACAATATGCAACAAGTGAGCTCTCCAGGTGACTTTTCCCTTCCACCCCCTCTTATTTAGCAGTCCTAAAAGCTGCAGCTGCCATTTCTGACAGTAATGAAGGCAGGCTGTAAAACCCTGGGATAAAGACTCTGGAGAGAACATTACCAGCTTGGAGCAAGGCAGGCAGCCCGATGGGGAGCTCACTTGAAATGCTGGGGTTTATTTTCTGCAACAGTATCTGAAGCCATAAGAATCTTGCCTTATCCACTTCCCAGCTTGGCTCCCCAGACATGACTCATCTCATTCCCAGCTGCTCCTCCTCCCCACAGAAACAGCCAGAAAAGGGATTGAAACACTGATGTGGATGTGGGGACATGGGTCATGGTGGCTGTGGCAGTGCTGGGGGAATGGTTACGGTCTTGGAGGAATTTGCCAACCCTAACAAGTCCATGGTGCAATGATGAAGAAGGGAGCTCAAGAGCACAGGCACTCCAGCCCTGCTGGGAGGAGCAGACACCCAGGGAAATCTGTTTTCTCCAGCACACAGACTGACACGGGGTGTGCTGCTTTCCTGGGACAGGGCTCCAGCACCAGCCTGCCCTGCTGGGGGAACTGACTGTGTCCATGGCCCCTCAGCTGGGGCACAGCCCTGCAGGGACCCCGGCCCACGGGGCTGGGCTGTGCCCACCAGAGGCACCAGCAGCCTGCCCTGTGCCTGCCTGGCACACGTCCTGTCCCCTGCCCCGGGAACCCAGCACTGTGCTGAGGCTGGGATGTCCAGAGGTAATGCTGGTGGTTTCAATTCCAGCTTCTCAGCTTGAAAACGCTGCGCAGACAGCGCTTTTACTTCAGTCAGGTCTTTCCACTCCTCCTGCAACTAAGTAAAGCCCCCAGTGGCAGCCAAAGGTCATTTTTTAAAAACTATTTGTACAAGCCTGACATATGCTGTGACAGATTTTAAGTTTCCTATTTTATCAAAAATCGTAATTAATACTTACGTGTTTGTTTCTATGCTGAGAAAATTGAGAGAGGCCAAAAACTGTTGCTATGGCACCTCCTCCAATGAGAGCAGTTCCTTTCACTGCCTTCTGAAATGCCATTTTTTACTGGAAGAAAAGAAGATAAAAATTAATTGGCAGTTTTACCATGTCAGGATCTGGTACACACAGAATAAACCATTTGGAGAAACTAATGACAACGTTGTGACAAGTTGAAATTTAGGGTAGCAATGTCTTAATTAGAGATTTTCACTGCAATATTAGTAACTTCTAAACAAAGTCTAGACAGAGGCAAGCCACAGTGCTCTGGTGTTTGCTGAGAAAGCTGAAGGATGAAAGAGTATTTAGATCAGAGTAGGTATGCACACCCCACAGTGACCCTGAGTGTGACAGCTACGGCCAGTCCCACGGAAAGGCAGACCAGGAACAGCCTGTCCCCAGCCACAGTGCCACCAAACCCTCGTCCCAACAGCACAGCAGATCTGATCCTCCTCCCCACCTCCGGCAGCGCCCTGCCCGTCCCACGAGACCCCTGCTGCAGTGCCTGCAGCCTGGCAGGAGGCAGCAGGAGCTGCCCAGAGCCCAGCCCGTCCTACCCCGGCTGCACAGGAGCAGGGCCCGCAGAGAAGCGGCAGCACGCACAGGGACAGCACTCGGTGGCACTTCACACCCAGCTCCACAGGGCTTGCAACCAGCCCTATGTGGGTCAGGCAAATTCCTAACAGACCCAGTGTTCGGATCCTGAATGCCAAATGTGCACGGGGCTGACCTGAATGTTAAGCAGGCCCAGCCTGCTCCGTGCTCCCTGGCGCGGGGCTGGAGCTGTCAGGGACAGCATCCCTCCCACCTGGGACACCCGGGACACCCCGTCCTGGCCACACTCCCCAGCAGTCCCCAGACAGTGATTTAGCACCAACGAGCCTTAAAGCAGGGGCAGGCTGTGTGTGTGCAGCCCTGTGCCAATATTGCAGCACCAGCTCTTACCAGGCGTGGGGAGCAGCCCCGGGTCAGCAGCAGGGAGCCAGCTCCCCATGCCAGGCTGGGCATGGAAACATGTTCCCAGGCTGGAATGCCTCAAAGGAAGGAATTCCTGGTTGTCAGGGTGGGCAGGCCCTGGCACAGTGTGCCCAGAGCAGCTGTGGGCCCCGGGATCCCTGCCACTGTCCCAGGCCAGGTTGGACACGGGGGCTTGGAGCAGCCTGGGACAGTGGGAGGTGTCCCTGCCATGGAACGAGATGAATTTTGAAGTCCCTCCCAATCCAAACCTTGACCTCATTCCCTGAGCACTTTGCCTGCAGAACACCCAGCGTGGGGGAAATCCCCCACGCAATTTCTGGTGCAGGCACTCAATGCAGAGCTGCTGTGTGTACAAACTGTGTAAGGGATCGTGGACAGAAGGCCAAGACTTGCAGCTTGCCTTGGACCTGTCCTGAGACTTCACTTCGGACACCAGGGACACACCTGCCAGTTACAGCATTCCTCTCCATGGAATTCGAGCACAAGGTACACAAACCACTGACCAAGAAGCTCAGTGACTGTCACCTATACCCAGGGGGATACAGCTGTTCCAGCTGAAGGGACATCAGACATGCCACGGGGCACAGCTTTGCCACTTTCCTCCTGCAGGTAGCATCTCTAACACCCAGAAAGGGACTCCCTCAGTGCCTCAGGGCTCCCCACTCCTTGCCTGGCCCCGGGGCGTGTTGCATTAGCTCTCCTCGGAGCTGAGAGCCGATTACAGGCAATTCTCCCGAGAAAGGAACTCTCCCAGCAGACCAGCTGCTCAAATTGCCACATCAATCTTGCTCACCATCCCTAAGAGAAGCTTATTCAGGAGAGAAAGGAAAATAGGGCTTAGCATAAGCCACTCTAGCACAGAGCCAGACAGGCATTCCAAGCAGACTGTGCTTTTACACCTGGAGCAGCTCAATTGCATCCCGGGAACGTGAGCCCGCATGTCTGAGGATGGGTTTGGATGAGGCTGGGTGAGCTCAGGACACTGCAGGGGGGCAGAGCCTGGGCACTGCTGGCACCAGGCTGCCCCAGGCTCTGCCAGGGCACCGCACAGCTCTGGTTCCTCCCGAAAGGAACGGCTCTGCAGGCAGCAAGTGGCACACGAGGTCTCCTCTGGAAAGGATGACCTGAACACTGCCTGGTGGCCACAAGCCACAGGGAAAGGAGAGGCTCTGAGCACACACTGGTGGGTTTTCCCCCAGCTCTGTCCCAGACGGCTGAGGAAGGCTGCTGCCAGCTCTGAGCAGGATACACCCGAGGGCAGGTGACAGGGAAGGAATGCAGTCCATGTGGTTCCACGGAGGCTGTACCAGGGAAGAGCCCACGCTCACAAACCCCTCCTCTTCTGGGAGCAGACACTGAGACCTGCCTCTCTTCCAAGCTGAGATCAATAGCTTGTGACAGAAATGGGATTTTATTTTAATGAAAATTATAATAGCAACCAGCATGAGAAGCACTACAGTCAGAATGACATCTTTCCATCACGCAAATATTCTGAATCACCTTTAAAAGCGGCTCAGAGTGTTTCGGCGCTGTCAGTGCCATCTGACACAGTAAATCTGCATGTTAAGCCTTACCCTTGATTTCAATAGAAGCCATAAATGGCACCTTTGGACCTATGGCCTCACCTGGAGGGTGGGCTGAGGTCCCTGACAGGCTCTAGAACAAGCTGTGGCAGGAGCAGGAGCCCTTGGCTGGCGTGGGAAGAGCCAGGAGCACGTCACAAGGAGTAGCTACTGCATAGAGTGATCTGTCCAAGGAGTTCAATATCCCCAGGGAACAGTTCCCAGGAACAGCTGAGCACTGGTGAAGATTCAGAGGGACATTAGCTCAAACCGCTATTAAAGGATTCATGATAAGAAGAAATAGGCTTTAAACTTGAAAGGACACAAAGGGGCAGGGAGAGCAGTCTACACAAAATGGAAACTACACAAAAGATTTATCAGCACAAGTTCCTGCTTTCAATTTCCAAAAGTTAATACAAACCCTGGTCACAGTAGGAAGTCCTTGGTGCATTCCTTAACCATCAGTCACACTCACTTGGACTATAGCAACATGGAACAGCCACTCCCAGAGGAGTCTCCCACTCCAGACCAGGCTGGTGACCTGCTCCCTACCTCGGCGAGGTCCCCAGGTGACCCTCCCCAGGTGTCAGGCCCTGGACCTGCTGTGTCAAAGGCAAGGGCTCCACTTCAGCAGTTAATGCACTCCTTACACTGCTTTGCTTCCAACCCCAAAACCCTGCAAGGCACCACTTACACCCCGGTTTTTGAAGAAGGGATTTGAACAGCCACCCCCAGCAGATGCCTCCGCACAGCGCATCCCACATGGCACACCTCTGCCACCCGCAGCCCTCACCAGGCTGGCACTGCTCCTGGGAGTGACTTGCCTTCCTTACTTCCCGTAACGCCCGGCCCAGCCAGCTGCCAGACTGCTGTCTGGATGCTCCTGGGATTGTGCAACCCACTCCCACCCGGGCAGCAGCTGGCTGAAAGGGAAACACCGCTATCGCCAGCGCTTCTCCACTCGGGTACCTCCTAATTACAGAGACATGGGGCTGGAGCTGAGCAAGCCATGGCCAAAGCTGGGGAAAGAATGAAAGAACGAGGGAAGGGGAACTACTCCTAACTACAGAGACATGGGGCTGGAGCTGAGCAAGCCATGGCCAAAGCTGGGGAAAGAATGAAAGAACGAGGGAAGGGGAACGGTGGGAGCGCAGCCCCAGAGCCATGAGGAGGGCGAGGCAGGATGCTATTGCAGCAGAAGTGGAGGGACAGATGGATGGAGGCTGCAGGGCTGTGCCGCAGCAGCGTGAGCCGCCCCGCGCTGCCATCAGATGCGGCTCCCAGACGCACAACCCGAAAATTGGGAGGAGAAACCCAATCTGTTATGCTGGATACCCGTGTGCCTTACGAGGCCATTGCCATGGAATCCGGGCGCTTCGCATTCCATTGCAAACGAACACGTCTAATAAAGTGAGTCACTCCATGCAAGGCTTAAAAATAGAAAACTTATAATCACCTCCACTATGGTTTGCATAACCTGCCATTGGCGCAGGAGCATTGTCTAATTCCTTCCTTCCCAAAGCTGCTCAGGTAAGTTTTGACGATGAGAGGCACAGACTGGTGTTCCTCCACGCTGAGCTGAGTCCTGCACTGCTCCTGCCTCTCCAAGGAGCTGCAGTGCTACCCTCAGCTCCCTCCAACCCAGCTCTCATCCCTGTCCAGGACCACTCAAGGCGGCCACGGTGACAGCAGCAGCAAGGCCAGCAAGTTAAGCTCTGACTGGGGTACTTTCAGCCTTTAAAGCTGTACTGGTCTGTTACCGGCAGTACCAGGGTGTGTCAGTGCAGGAAGTGGCCAACTAACAAGAAAAGGGGATGTAATCAGAAAATAGCCCAATTAGCATACTCTTAAGCAGGTCATCTAGCAAGCTGTCTCGGTGCCTTGGAGTGCTGGGAGAGGTTAATGTTACACGGGATGACAGGCCACAGCAACTGAAGCAGCTGGAAAGGAACTGAATAAAGCTAAACCAACCCAAGCTGGAGATGCTTCCCCTCAAGGCAGATCTCTGGTGAGGATCTCTGGTGAGGATCTCTGCCAAGGAAGGGCTCCAGAGGGTCCCACCACAGCACAGACACATCCACCCTCCAGAGCCTCCCCTGCAGCCTCCCTGGTCACCCTGGGCTCTCAAGCACAAGGCAGGGCATTGCAATTGAAGTCATTATCCAAGCCCACCTCTCCAGCCAAGCACAGGAACACAACCTGCGATATCCATTCAGCTCACAGGGCCACCCCACAGCTATGTAACACCCTGCATGCAGGACCTGAACTCCAATCCCCCCAGGCCACCCTGTGCCGGGAAGTGGAAGCCAAGCAGCACTTCACTATATGGGGAAAGTCCTTCCCACGCTCCAGTACAGGCAACCAGCTCAGCTCCCATGCCCAAAAGTGGTTGTAGCACTTGTCAGGCACAGAAATAAAGGAGAAACAAAGCAGAAAATAGGTATCTTATCCTCATTCCTCCTCTTGGTCCTACTGCTTCCAACGGCTTCATCTGCCTTCAGTACTCAGACACCAAGATACTCCCACCCTGCTTTAGATGGCAGGACAACTGCTGTGAACTCTGTCCCACAAGGAACAAACTTTTTTAGCTTCTCTTTCGAATGTCTAGTGTTTCAATTTTAGCCTAACCACTTCTTTTTCTTCTGCTTCATCACCCTCCCACTTGGAGATGATGAGGGGAAAAGTCCTCTGTGCAAATCCCTCTTGGAATCTCAATAGCAATAGTCTTGCCACAGACAGTAGCATATCTCTGGGGATGAGGCAACACTGCAGACAGGGATGGCTGTAATCACAAGGACTGTATCTAAGCACTAACAGGAATACAAAGACTCCAATGTCAACAGGTCTTTTGAGCTTTCCCAGCATACAAACATTACAATATATTTATCAAGTTCTAGATGAAAATATTTCAATTCCCTCCTGTCCTGGTCTCCAGCCTGATCACTGACTAATGCGTGCAGGATGATTTCCATACTTTTGTGTTCTTGTGCCAATGTTGTTTTAACTTAAACTTCTCAAATAGTCACTCTTGTTTTCACTGCTGGTGGGGGTTAATATCAGCCATCAACACACACACAATACAATGACTGTAAGCCAATTACTGCCACTAGAAAGAAATGCTCTTGTCAGATACAGTTAATTTATAGCTGTTTTTCCCTTTTTTATATATATTCCTCATTCCCCTCATTTTTAATGAGGATATTGGAATAGACAGTCTGCCAGTTCAACTTGATCCCAACACTGGCACTTTATCCACGCTCTTGCTTCCACTGCCTAGCCAAAGACTCAAGGAGCAGGGGCTAGAAAACAAGGTGTTTTGCTTTTTACAAGACTGGACATATACCTGCACACACAAACAGGAACCTGCTCAAAAAATAGCTACAAACTAGGCGGATACTTAGGCGTGGCAAGGAAGTAGCCTAGTTTTATATCCTGGGATACAGATTGAGACCTGATAGCACATGCAAATCTAACCCTGGAGGAGGGGCCTGCGTTCAGAATCACTCTGAAATCAGAATCAGTGCTTCGCTTCAGAAGCTTTGCAAAGCAAATAAAAACAATCCAGGCCAAGACTTTGGACTCCATCCACAGGATCTGGCTGTGATTCGGGGTGAGTTCACCTGGAAACCCCTGGAGACAGAGCTACACGCTCGCTCGGGAGCCTGGCCCAGAGAGAGCCATTTAGGGAGATGGAATGTTTCCAAAATCAATACTGTGATGTTGTGGAAGAGCTCTGATTACAAACTGTCGGTTCCTTACGTAACAAAAGCTATTTCCTAAAGTGAAGCTTTTTGGAAGAAATAGGCTGCATCTCCATTACCAAGAGCTAATTAGTGGAGCCCTAGAGCCCAACAGCTGCTGCTGCAAACAGCTCTGTGGTCTCTGCTCTGCAAGGTTTACCCCAAGTGGCCCCAGTGATCCACAAGCACCCACGGAGCAGTGGAAGTGCAGGAATCCTTCCTTAAAGGGTGATCTACTTCTGCCCCACTTGCTTCAGCTTTCTTTTTCCACCCTTTAATTTTTATGTCACAGAATCCCCAGAAATACTGAGGTTGGGAAAGCCCTCCCAGCCCATGGAGTCCCAGCTGTGCCTGATGCCCACCCTGTCCCCAGCCCAGAGCCCCGAGTGCCGCCTCCAGGAGTTCCTGGGACACCTCCAGGGATGGGCACTGCAACCCTCCCTGGGCAGTTCCAGTCCCTAAGCCCCTTTCCATGGGGAAATTCCTGCTGCTGTCCACCCTGGGCCAGCCTGAGGCCGTTCCCTCTGCTCCTGTCCCTGTTCCCTGGGAGCAGAGCCCAGCCTGCTCCCGTTTCCCACGTTGGCTGTGGTGTCCCTCTCCCAGCGGGTCCCAGGAGGGTGGCAGGGGCAGGGATCAGCACCCTGGTGCTGACATCCTGTGCTCCCAGTGGCTGCAGGAGCACACCCACCATGACACAGCTAATCCCTGCAAAGCCCAGGTGCCAAGTACAGCCACGAGGCCAAGAACAGAGAGTGGCTCAGTTAATCTGTACAGCCAGGCTGGCAGAGCTCTGGTTGGGACTGAGGGTACCCAGCCCAAAGAAAGGCAGAATAACTCCCCAGGTCCCATTTGCCAGCACACAAACAAGCACCAGCACAAGGAAGATATTGCCTAACTGAGCTACTTGCAAATGCCAAGCCCTGTTTTGAAACCATCAGCTACGAGTGGAAGGTGAAAGTCACAACTGCAGACTGACAGCAGAAACCCCACATTTCTTTCAAATGTTTGCTAAAGCTTGCAGAGACTTGTGTGGAGGCAAAGCAGGCAGCAGCAAGGAACCTGCAGGAGCTGTCCTTTGGAAAACTGCTCTGCATGAATGGCCTCTGCACTGACCACATCCTGCCAGCTTCCTAAATTCCTGTCAGGGACAGCCAGCAGGTAGAAATGGATCCCTAGAGAAAATACTACGTTATGCAGCAAGGTCTAGGGCACAACATTGTTATTACTACTGTGCTCCTGTGCACACACATAATTAAGCAAAACAAAGTGTAAATCCACATATACACAACTAAAGTAAAGCTACCAATTAGATACAAGGGGTGTGAATCATTTTTTATGCACACTTGTGCCAACTCAAAACTTCCATCCAACTTCAGACTAAGTAAACTGCTAATGCCTAATGTTAATATGAATAATATTCTGGTTATTGCTGTTGAAGGGGCAATACTGGACTTTGCTTTACATATTAACACAGAAAGATCCTGAACCATCAGACCAAGTCTTTACTGGCTAACCAGTCACTGCTCATCACTGAAAATTACGGAAGAACTGTAACCAAGAATAAGAGAGGAAAAGAAAAGGGTGGAAAGGAGCAGGGAGGAGAAGAAAATGCAGCTCTTTTGGAGGGGAGGAGAGCCCCTGCCTGCCAGCAGCAGGTGAAGGAGCTGCTCTCAGCACACCTGTACTACCTGCTCACAGTAGCACCAGAGGAAGTCAGGGAGGGACTAAATCTGGCTGCTTTTGAACCCAAGCTCTCCACACACACATTTACATCTTTTCCTGTAGAATCAGGCTTACAAGCATTTACTGACTGCTTAACAGAGGCAAGAACTCAGAGGAGCTCAGGACACCAAGCAATGGTCCCACGAGTACGTTCAGCGGAAGTAATAACTTACTTTCATTTTACAAAGTTCAGTGTAACTACAGCTGCGCTATTTTTTACCAGTAATTCTGGGGTTTTTTTTTAATAATGAGAGATATTATTTCTACCAGCTCCATCCAAGAAAAAAAATATAGTTAATGAGCTCTGCAACCTCCTTATTTATTATATATAGATACCTACAGGCACCCAGTAGCTGTCCTGGACAGGGAGACCCTGAGGCTGGACCTCTCGCTGTGGGACACTCTCAGGGAGCAGAGGGATGACCCGTACACAGGACAGCTGCCAGGGGCTCTGCACCGCTTCTGTAAAACTGCCACACTCTCCTTTTTTTTGGTATTTTATTCCCCATCCAAAAGCTTAAATAAAATGGGGAGGAGGCTGAGAGCACTTGGTAGTGAAAGCTGCTGTATAAGATCATAGAATCATGGAATGGTTTAGGTTGGAAGGGAGCTTTAAAGCCCATCCAGTGCCATCCCTGCCATGGCAGGGACATCTCCCACTGTCCCAGGCTGCTCCCACTCCCAGTGTCCAGCCTGGCCCTGGGCACTGCCAGGGATCCAGGGGCAGCCCCAGCTGCTCTGGGCACCTGTGCCAGGGCCTGCCCACCCTCACAGGAAGGATTTCTTCCCAGTATCCCATCTACCCGTGCTGCTCTTGAGCCTTCCACACAGAATGATAAAATCCCAGCACGGTTCGGCTGGGAGAGACCTTGAAGATGCTCCGGTGCCACCCTGCCATGGCAGGGACACCTCCCGCTGTGCCAGGCTGCTCCAGCCCCAGTGCCCAGCCCGGCCCGGAGCGCTGCCAGGGATCCAGGGCAGCATGTGCAGGAGCGGCAGGCAGGATGCGTTCGCTATGCTTTTATAAGAAAAGGCAGCAGCGTGCCGAACGCGCGGCTGCGCCCGCGAGTGCGGGCCGGCCCCGCTCCCTCCGTGCCGCCCCGAACCCGCTCCCACAGCCCGCGAACGGCACTTACTGCGGGAGCGCCGGGAGCCCGCGTCCCTCTGCGGGCTGCTCGCCGGCCGCCGCCAGAAGAGGCGAGGGAGGGCGGCTCTCTCCCCGCCCGCCCTCCGCCTGCAGCAGCCAGCCCGGCTCCCCCGAGCCCCGCCTCGCACACCGCCGGCGCCTCCCCGCCCTGCTGCCCGCCCGGGGCCGCGCTGCCCCGCCGA